CTTTATTAATTAATTAATTTTATTCACTGTATTCGACAAAGAGAAACTTTATACTTTAGTAAGTGAAGTTCTATCATACATTATGGACAAATAATATTATTAATAATGAAAATGCCTGATAATAAGACAATGATGATAAAAATTCATTGATAAAAACAAATAATATATTAGGCGCAAAATTCATTATGTTTGTTTGGGAGAGGCGACGAAATTCACGTGAATGGAATGATGAAAAAGAGTTGGAAAGTTGAAGGAGAAAAAGATGTGAGACTTTTTGTTTACTCACTCTTTCTCTCAACAATGTCTTTAATGACAGCGATCGTTAGTGGAATGGTATGGATGATATTGCCCTGTTCACAATATAAACCAAGTGATATTTCTCACCGCATCTTAGAATAAAAGTTATTAGGAAAATATTTGTTTTCGAGAATTCCATGTAAATGTACGAGAATCCCGTTTAAATGAAGTCTTTAGAATTAGATCATAGAATGTGCATAGAATTAGTGGAAATCCGTTAAGTTAAATAAATTGAATTAATCCATTAAATAATTTCCTTCCACAAAAGCGTAACGGGAATGAATAACACAGCCTGATGGTCGTATTTTCCTCGGTTTCATTCAGATGCTATCTTGATCACTAAGCCTTAATAAGAATCAATGAAAAAAATAGAATCAATTAGACAGTGTAATATTTGTTAATATAACTAATTAATTTATTAGTGATCTCTTCGTCGATTTTCTTAGTTATCACTATTCTTTTTATTTCAAAACACAAAGAAGAAAAAGTAAACAATAATTTTTGTTTTAAAATATTTCTGAGATCATTCATTAGAGAAAATAAATGACTAACGATGATTACCCGTATATAAATCAATAAAAATTAATGATTATGAATAATTCCCACCAATTATTAAAAGCAATAATGACTGTAATAAAAAAAGCATAGGTAAAAAAATTAGAGAATGAATTGTAGCGAAGATGAAAATTGATTTGTAGAAAAATGATAAATGCTGATTAATTCTTGAGATTACAGCAAGAATTTAACTCTTCCACTTTTAAGAAATCTATGAAGCAAAAATTTATATGTAAATTTTGAGAAAGTAACAATAAGATAAGGAGAAGATATGAAGAGGAATATATAATAGAAATAAAGAATAGAGAATAGAATAATGAAAATGAATAATTTCAAGCATTTCAACCTATCTGTACAATTTTTACATGAAAATAAAACAATGAATTCCAATTTAATTCACTCAACTTGAATGAATCATACATGTATTTCCTTTTTTCTATAAGGACAAAAACAACATTATGAATTTAATTTGAATTTCAAGTAAAATTTCAAAATGTGATGTGTGTAAAGTTTCATCAGCGAGCAATTTTGTGCTTAATTTAAATGAATTTTTCTTGCTTTGGATTAAATCAAATTTGAAATATAAAATCCATAGTTTAATTAAATAGAAGTCCTTTGTAGTAAATGTTCCACAGATAAGAATGAAAGATCACTTCTGATGAACTGTTTGTTGTTGGAATACATTTAATGATCAATTATCATCATAACATGACTGGTTGAATTTTTACCGCATAATCATACGCTCTGCAAACAAATCAAAAAAAGAAAGTGGAAAGTTTCAGATAAAATGAACCTTTTCTGAAATTCAGAATTATCACTTAATAGATTCATTCGATGATACAAAAGAATTTAAAAGAAACTATCAATTTTTGGAAAGATAAAAGATATTTTTAAAGCAAAATATCAATATCTGAAAATTTTTTTTTAGGAAAACTTTTTTTAGCAAAATAAATTAATGAATATTGATGAAAATAAAAATTATTAGGTATATTTTCTTGTGATTACAGATTACAAATTATACTTCTTAATAAGGGAAAGATGAGGAAGTTTAGGGTTTGCTGTAAACTATAAATTTAACTTAATCATATGATGAGAATCATCTCTATGAATTAGGCTTTGAAAAAGGAAGTTTAACTTTAACTTAAAAATTGAAAAGTTGAAAATGGATGAATTAACATACTAAGAAAAAACAACACAACACCGGCTATTAAAAGTGTTATCCATAATGATTGTATAGGTTGAATTGTCTGACTCAGATAGACATCAGGTAACAAATGATCGGCTTGAGCTTCATCATACACCATTCCTACTGAAGCTGGCGCACGTTTGATTTCCTATGAAAAATGCATCTAATAAAAAAAAAGTAACAACACTTATGCAGGATTAACTTTTTCAACAAGAATCTAAAATTAAAAGAATATAAGCCCTAATTTTTTAAGATGTTTTAGTTTTGAGAGGAGAACAGAGTTTGCATTTTACAAATGCTAATAGCCAACAGGCTTACCTGTTCAAATTGGATCAGTTGTCTCCAGAAGCCAATATTAGGTCTAACCAATGGCCTCTTAGAAAGCATCAAGAAATAAGCATCACGAAGTGTTTGACATCGGTATTTGGTAAGGTAAGCGAGACAAATTGTCGCTGATCGTGACACACCAGCAACGCAGTGAACTAATACCGCTCCACCACCCGTTATAACTGTTTCTATCTGCAATTTCAAATACTTGCCTTTTTTTGGAATGAATTAATCATCGAAATCCTCAACAATGTTAAATTACTGAATTACTATGGTAAATCGTTCAGAAATAGTACTGGCAGTATTATCATTCAAATGCTTCGATAGAATGAAAATTTTCAAAGTTGGCCGTACTGACAGCGAGCTGCAGAAATCGTTGTATTCGGACAGAATATTTTCAAATGTTATTTAAATACTTGAATATGATTAGTGCAAATGATTACTTCTTCATATTTTAAACGATTTCATTACAGTCAGTTTCAGATTAAAGCAAAAGAACAAGAAATTAGTGATGGGCCTTTAGCCTAGAGGATTTTAGCTAAGCCTTTAGCCTAGGATATTTTTCCTCAAAGCGTATCTATTTTTTATTACTTGTTTATAATGATCTTATTGAACTCTTTTAGTTTACAAACCTGACATGAACACGTATGATGCGTGTAATTGATGGAAATAACATATGACGTATGACAGCGTGTATTCTCATTTCTTTCATGTAAATATTAAATATGCTAAAATTTCATATGACTATTGGTAGTAGAAAACTCTCCCAACCTCTCGGAATTAAGTTAAGACGTATTTGATGCGAATTTAAATTCTAAAACAAAAGAAAAAAGAATGCATTCATCCAACCTGATCACTAACAGCTTCAAGATGAGGATAAATATCAGCTTCTGGTGTATCATCGATCCATAATTTCATGCGGGGTATATTCCCCAGTGTTTTCAAATTAGGAACCTATAGAAAGCATAAAAATTGTAGGTTTTTTTATAAACTTTTGCAAAAAAATTTTATAAACTTTTGCTCATTCATCAAAATTCCGAAAATGAGTTTTCAACTCAAAGAATCAAATTTTTTCTACAATTCATCGGTTAAGGATTTGTTGTTCAACGAAACAAAATTAATGTTTGTTGGGTGAAATGTTTGTTTTCTACGATTGAGTGATTACTTTAATGTTTACTTATTTAATACGCATTGAATGAAGCAAAAGTAATGAATATTTTTCATTAAGAAAATTCAAATATTATTTGAACGAATATATTTGCTTAAAAAGAAGTTAATTTGGACAGGTCGTGAAATATTTTTTGTAAATTAGTTATAATAACATACTGTGATGAAAGATATTAAGGCCATTTAGCAACTGAGGCCAAGCAATTTTAATAACTATATCATCCTTTTGAGACAAATAGCCAAGAACTATCAGCCAAGGAAATCAAACAATCTTAGCTTTTTTGGTCTCATAAAAATTTCTTGAAGTATAACCAACTTCATTAGTTGTATTAATGATCATCGTTATTCCATTCTTCTCAATATTATGTCGGTTTAATTCACTAATGCCACATATGAAAAGACCGGGTACTAATTGCGTTAATTTGGCATATTCCGGATTAACCTGATATGATACTGTCTGCATCACCTGCAATTGACATTTGTAACACGGATACTTTCCAATTCCACTAAAATGCTCTTTCGTAAATAAATAAATAAGAGTAAGACTTTCATTTAAATTGTTAATATTCGTAGATAAAATTAATATATAGCATATTTATGATTTAAACAAAGAAAAATTATGTCTCAAACTAATCACATCTGATGTAACAATGTCTTATCTATACTTCAAAAATATAAATTTTACCTTCCCAATGAAAGCCTATGAATGCAGCAAAGTTGAAATGATATTTGCATAGTACTGCTATCATCTTATACATAATTTACAAATATCAAAGCTGCCTTATACGTTGAAGTACATAAAGGTTATATTCATGCGATTATTCATTAAAGATGACAGGAACCAGTTAAACAAAACTTTCATGTGACTTGTTATTTATAAAAATAATATTTCCTTATGCAAGTTCTATATGTCTATAAGTAACTGAATTAGTTTGTTAGTTAATTCGTAATGAACATGTTTATTTATCTATCGCATTTTAGATGGTTCGGTATAATTTAGGTATTTGCTAACTATTTCAATTGCATTATAGAATTAAAATAATGTCACAATCTTTAATAATTTGATAACAATTTACAAAAATAATTTACTGATGAAAATTAACAAATTTAAAATCAAAAAAGTATAATTAAATCAATTTTTGGTTCCTTATTTATATACTATAAAGTTAATATATTAAACATATTTATAAGGGAAATTTCGAACTTTCATAAAACGACAAAATAAGAAATAATTTGTTAGAATAAAATGATTTATTAATTTTAAGGCATCTAACTTATTTTCAGATAAAATATTCAAAAGGAAATGAAATATTACCTAAAAGTTGTTGTTAACTCGACAAAATATCCATTTCTAATATTATATGATAATTTCAGGTGATAAATACATATTACTTTTCACTTCCGTCCAACTGAAATGATTGAAACTTATTGATTTTTAAAATAGAATATATCCAACAGATATAAATAAAATCGATTATTAATTTTGAACAATATAATAAATTTCCACCAATCGCATTTTTTTTTTAAAAACATCAGAAATGAGAACTAATTTAATTAATTGAAAAGATTATAAATAAGTTTTCCTCAATGAGTTCACAGATTTAATCGACGTTTTTATCAATCTCTTATCGATGAAATTTCCAATAGGTATAAAAATATTTTTTGGACAAACATTTAACTGTCTTAATCACTACCTTATCTATCTTATTGACAAAGCTTTATCTATCAAATACTACTAAACTTCAATTAACCGAAATAAAATTTTAATTTCGAAACAGAAAATTAAATAAGAATGGAAAAAAAGGTAGTTGAAAGGCCCTAAAAAGTACCAGAAAATATAGCAATGGTTGAAAACCATATATTGTGTATATATAAGTGATGCGCGAATAGTTCACTGCGATCAAAAGTTCCCATACATAGTATATTGAGAATTATCAAGAAATAATTCGGATGATTTCCAGAATATTTTTCACTATCCATAAAATTATTTAACCTATCTTTATCAGCTATAACTTTATATAAGCATTTACATCATTCATTCCAGTTCTTTGCGCTCAGTTATTTAGTGTATCGCCTGAGAGTAACTTTCATTCAAGTTTTCATACAAAGGAATTTTGTATGTTAAATTGTGAAGGAATTATGGTACTCAATTAGAACGATAAAAAGCTAAATGCAAAATGAAATTTTTAAATTTTTTGAAATATTGTTTTCAAATTTTATTCAATAGAAATATTTGTGTAAAATTTTAATGGCTTATTTTGTAGGATTTTGGATAACGTTTATGATTTTTTCTGTCAATAACTTATTAAAATAACTTTCTCTTTCTTCATACTTTGAGGGATTACTTGAAGTATTGCAAATAACTTCCTAAATGCGAACCATTTCTTCGATTTTAAATATGGCAGGAAATTTGAATGAAAAAATGTTCCGCATAGTTTTGTGCAAAAAGGTATATCAAATGAAAATTGATGTCGTAATGATTGATATATGTTCGGAACAAACCATTTCTAATGCAACAGCGATAGAAATAGCTGTATAAAAACATGCAAGAAAATTCCCATATCAAAATGCAATGAATTTATTAAACTGAAAAGAAGAGAAGTTGTAAATTGCAGAAAATATTAAATGCGCTCTTGATTGTTGCTAGTTGTCAAACTTGAAAGTTTGCAAATATTTGTTTCTCAAAATTCAACCGAAAGAAATATCTCATATTTTCCCAATTCTAACCAAATTTCATCTTCGATAAATTAAGCCAACCTTCTTGGATAACATTAGAGACTTAAGCGATTTCAATTTTCAACATAGAAGCAGTAAAAAAAATTGGGTTATCTCTTATAATTAATGAAAGCTAAATTGTTTTAAGCTTAGAGCTTTGCTGATTATAACAAAATAATTCAATCTTATCTATAAGAAGATGAAATGGACATTCAAATTGCTTTATTAAAATAGTATATCTTCTCTGCAATGAATTCCTGATATCAAAACTGGAATTAATAAAGTAATACAATATAAAAATATGTTGAAAATTTTATAGCTAAATAATTTCAAAAAAGAGAAGCGGCAAATGGAAAAGGAATAAAATGTGAAAATTATTATTAAAAAAGAATGCATTCGTAAATATGTTTTATGGTAGGTAATTTGCAACAAATATTATTTTATAACCAATAGGGAATTTCTTGGAACCATCACATTACAGTTAACTAAATCATTTTATAATTAATTCAATACGAACTTTCATTACCTCTAATTACATTAACTAAGATTTTGAAAAAAGAAACAAAAAGAAAGGTTGATACATAAGGGAAGAGAAATTAAGCTGATATTCTAAATTTAAAATTATCCGTCTGTCTAAATTTTTTATCTCTCATAATTTCATTCCCAAAATATTTTCCTATACACATCGTAGCTTTATCAATTAATTATCCAATCTGCTATAAATTTTAATTTTTCAAACATATCACATACAAAGTTCGACATATATAATGTTACCTTATAATCTAGACATAGTTCATCGTGGATTTTGAAATCTTTTCTTGACAAAGTTTGTAAATCCTAATGAATAAATCAATGGATGTAATGACAGTTTCTGAAAAAATACTGATAGCGATGGTAATAATGATAAGGATAGCCGTTGTTAAAAGCAACAATTTTATGCAAAATCATTTTTATTAGAGGGAAATGAAAGGATTGTTGTGATTACCAGCCATTTTCACATTTTCTATCAATTTCCGCTCTGAATTTTACATCGATGAATGACACGACAAATTCACGTGGACAATTTAAGCAATGGGTTGTAGAAGAAAATGTAAAAAGCAGCGGAATAAATCAGCGATATAGGCCTGGCTTAATTAGGCTTGACTAATTGTGCTTTCCCATTGTGTCATAGTTGCATTATCTTTTCGTGCGAAAAAACGTAAATAATCCCTAATTGATGAAAGCAATCAATACATTCTGTCTTGATATTTTTTCAGGAATCTTTACTATTAAGCAACAATTTACTAGTTATTTCCGAAAAAAGATCGGTCAATTTTAAAATTAAATTAAAAATATTAAAATTAGATTAGGAAAGATGAAGAAAGGAAGAAAATTAGGGGTAGATTGAGATTTAGCAATAAATATTAAATAAACAATCCAGAGATGTATCGGAGAACTACTCAGACATCACATTGTATGTTATGTTTAGCCTTATTGGCTTTGTTAGACATCGAAGTTTCATTGATGCCGTAACTGCTCTCCGGTTGATGAAAATATTTACGCAATTATTCTAATTTTATTATAGTGACTTATTGATTCAGTTGATATATACAAGTTTTTAGAACTTATTGATTCATTTTGTGATATATGTCGTGAATCATTGCATTAACGTGAAACGGATGATATCACCGATCAAGTATGCGCAATATATTCATTTAAACTAATCAATGTTTTACCATTTCAATAATAGCTACATGTTTTATTGCTTCATTTGATGACAATCAGAATGAATGAAAATATTTTTATCGAAATGCTACATATTAATTTAATAATAACACAAACAAATAATGACCACTGACAATAATACTACATTATTTTAATAGTTCTATTCTTGTATTTTAGACATTATTTTTGCATGCTGTAGTTTTGTTACATTAGTAATAAATCAAAATTTGCGCCTTCACGGAATTAGAAAACATTTTATGCTAATAAATTTTAACTTTAATTTCATGCTAATTTATCATTTTACACTGATTTGCGTATGCGATCGATAAAAGGCATTGTAACACAGTTTATAAATTGACCTCCTCCCTAGCTATTTGTTCGCAAATTAAACAAGCTATTGGAAAATAAAAAAGTCACCGCCACGACGACATTCCTGTAAACCACTTAATGCTCAACAAACAAAGACGTTTGAAATATGTGAGACCGGAATGCAAATATCAATCTCATAGTTTTTCCATTGCGAAATTTTATCATTTAGTGGTGATTGCTTCGCTATTTTTCTTTCTCTCATCTTCTTCTAAAATGGAAAGATTACTGTTCGTATCTATCATTGATCAATCATATCATCGCAGCTTATTTATATCAATGTTATGGCAAAACTTTAGGAAAAAATATGCAAACCTTTAATAGCCTGTTTTTTCCATCGATCTTTATTCTCGTGCATGAATTGCAACCATGGAGTTGGTATTTCCAATTTTCCAGCCTGATTTAGAGGTAAAAAACGGAATGAATTGTTTGTTTCATTGTCGTTTATACTTTCTCTGACAGAAAACAAAAGTTAATTATCACTTTTCTTGCATAAAGTAGGAATAAAATAGAATAAGTAAGTAATTCAATTCAATATTTAATGAAAATTCAAATATTTTTGCAAAGATTTCAAGTGTTGGAAGGAAAAATAAGTTAGGAAAACTTTGGTAATATGCTGAATTTATAAAGAAATTTATAAAAACCTTTTATAAAATTTCACTAATTTCACTAAATTTAACAGCCATTAAAAGTTGGCCAATATGTTTGAATGGCAAAATCTTTCTTCAAAATTTTTACAACAATTACTATTTAAATTCCTTCTTTAATAAATCTTATTATCAATAAGAATAGAACAAACGTTTCTGATTCCTGGGTGATATCAACATTTGATAACTGTAAATTGAGATTCTCAAGTGGTAAAAAAGTATTCGGTGATCGTAATGGTACCAATGGTTCAATTATTTTGGTGAACATTTCTCCACAAATAATCATTGTTGGTTCAACAATAAAATCAATAAAACCTGTCAATTTTAGAAAAAAATTTGCATAAAAAGCATATTGAATAAAGCATTTTTTAATAGCGAAATTTCTTAATAGAAATAAGATATTAATAAGAATTATTGGAAATTTCTCGTTAAGAAGGAAAGATTTGTATTTTTCATTTTCATAAAGTTTATTTCTTATTATTTATAGGTTTTGGTGTAGCATTTCCATTTCCATTTCATTAATTTTGTTTTTGTTTATTATCAAATAAATTACAAAAAAACAAATAAATTATTCAAATAATAACCAATTTGTGAATCAGCAACATGTACAGTATTTCTATCACAAAGAGGCGAATACGGTAGACCCATACTGGCTTCAAGATCACCCTGGCGAAAAAATTCTTCAAGAACACCTTCAGTCCATCGAGAATGTAATTCCCATGGTTTCGAGGCATGTGATATATCACAAGCATGCACGATGAGGCAAACAGCTTTAGTTTTATCAATACTAAAAGAATAAACGATTTAATTTTAGGTAAATTCTTATGATCCACATTTTCTCAACTTTCTCGACCATTTCGTATTACAAAATGATACTAAGATCATAAAGTTAAGACAACAATTGATACTCAAATTGATATGAATGAATTTTCCTTACCCTTCAGATGATGATAACATCGCTCTCATCGTTTTAATTTGCGCAAAATGGCTTGACATATCTGTTGCGAGTACGATTTCAATCAATAAATCACGTAACTCTCTGGAAAATTCCAAGTAAAATGAAATTTCATATAAATAATAATCACTTTTAGATTATGAGTTTAGAATAAGATGAGCTCAACATATATATATATATATATATATGTGTAAAGTGAACGGTAATAAGAGAAAGAAAACTTTACCTGAATTCTTCCCTGCTTAACATTTTAAAGATATTTTTATCGTCTTCTTTCAATAAGCGAAAAGATGCGCTAACATGATGATTTTCCAGAACATTTCGATCATTATATATCAATGCATAATGCGATCTTAAAGATCAATTCAATTCAATTTTTGGATGGAATAATTAACCAAAATTTCGGTAACAAACAAACAATTGCGCGTCATCGATAATTTATAACTGACCTCTGCTTTAGACATTTTAATATACCATACACAGAGAAATGTTCACATACTTTACTATAAGCTCATCTACAGGTAATTAATTTTTTGGTAGTTCTCTCATTGGTAACTGGCTGATAATGATTTTTCAGATTTTATAGAAAAGTCAGGAAACTGAAATCTGTCATTTGATCAATCCTAATCCTCAGCGCAACTGATTCTTTCGAAAGTTTTACTTCCGAACTCACATATTATGATTTCCAATATCATCATTCTCTTCCCATTATATGATTATATTCTTACTTAAATACGAATGAATTTTCAGCCTTCTGATAAAAAATCGGAAACTTCTAAAAAGTTATTTGTTTATATATTTTTCAGCTTTTCCAGCTTTCTCTTCATGCATCTGATTTAAAAATAATATTAAATAATCCATTAGCCCAATAAAACTCGAAAATGTTCAAGCAGAGAGAATAAAATGAAAAGTTAAATCAACTCATATTCATTAACTCATATTCAAATTAACTCAGATTGCAAAAATAAATAAATAAAACAGACCCAGCTTGTATATGAAAATTATTTGTGTGACCTGTATGCTGATAATCATGTATCATTGCACCAAATATAACTGCCAGTATATCAAGATCTGATAAGCTTGTCTATAACTTATCTCAATCATCTAATTTAACTTTAATATTAAACACATAATACAACAGTATTTAACCTTTCTTTCTTCAATTCATCGGTTATAAAATGGTTCAAGTACCAAAATGCTATTTGCAGGAACTAGAAATCATATAGGTCCAAAATATTAAAATGCTAAATGGTACCATATATTAAGAAAAAGAAAACATACAGCAAAACCAGTCTGTGATAACATGAAATGTGACGAAGCAGTTACATCAGCAGCATGAACAATGTTATGATATGGATTGTTATGCTTACTGTATCCAACTTCCAATGCTCCAATGTAATTTTCAAGTGTCTTCACTGGGATCTGTTACGTGACAGTCATCATCATAGCACATATATATACATGTATATCAAAAGATAATACTAAAACTTTTTTAAAGCATTTAATTCAAAAATTTATAATTAGAAATTATTGAAAATGAAATAGGAACCTTGTAACGTTCAAAGAAATGATATCGGTTGAATAATTCCAGGCCAACATACTTTAATGCATGCCCTTCTGATACTTCGTTTAATCGAAAGCAATCAAATGACCAGCTATTCAGATTCTGTAGGTTTTTTTTTCCTTCTACTTATTTCACTTCTATTTTGAAATTTCATAATTTTTTCTGAATTTTTTATGAAAATAATATCGAAGTATTTCTATTTCAGTGTAAGTAATTTGGATATAATAGCAATAACTTACTTGATTTGATGAAATTATTGCAAATTCATTCATTATTATTTATTTTGATTTTAATTTATTCATAATTGTTATAATTGAGAATTTTTAATCGATTGAAATTTTTGCTCGAAATATCTTTTTATCTTTAAAATTTTTGAAAACGACAATAATTGGGAAAAAGAACAAAAACCTTCATCAACGCAGCAATTTCTGGTGGTGTTGAAATAAGAAGTACTTGTGATTTTCTAAACATTCTGAAAACAATGAATGAATTTTCACATATTACTGGAATGCATCTCATGCATATGTTATAATATAGGAGAAATGCTTACTTGTTAAAGAAAATTCCTGTCAGTATGGCATTAGCTACCGATTTAAGTTTCGGTTTTTCACGTTTTAAATTGGCCGATTGCATTGTAAATGTTGCTGCAAGCCATTCGCGGACTTCATCAGAAACTGATTCCGGTTTAACATCTACTAAATCATCTTCCTCATCACAGATGTGCCTGCAAACCAAGCAAAAGTAATATGCGCTTTGACTTAATTAGCTTTTATCTTTCAAATGAATTAAACGGAATGCGCAGAAATAAATGTGAAGATGGAATTCTGTAAGCAATATCCGTTAAATCATTTTCTCAATGCATTAAAACAATTATGTGGCTTCAAATAGTTTTCAAAGTTCAAGGGATGCTTTATAGATTTCAATGCAATAAGTACTTTGAAGCTTAAGCGACTGATCGTGACTGTTTCTTACGAAAATTCTTGCACAACCACTTCATTGAATTTAACCTCAATTAGTGATTCAAGGCTTCCAATCCCCAGTCTTCGGAACTTTTATTCAGAAGCGAAGAGAGGAAGCTGAAACTTCCAGAAATTTGTCTTACTACATTTTATTGTTATCCAATCGTTGCAACTCTCAAACCGGAAAGATCCGTCTTTTCAAGCTGATTAAGGCCCTTACATATGGCAACATTAAAAGTAACTTTCCGAAATTGACGTGAGTTCAATTGATTGTTCTAATCAGACGATTTAAAATTTGAACTTGCGGGACTGATAAACACAGTTCTTATTATATGAGACTAACAATCATTTCCTTCCTCCACTTCCTATCTTTTTAAATAGATGCCTTCCAATCTCATTAATATTCAGTAACAGAGATATTATGTGTCATCGATATAATTAATATTTAGCCTAATATGGACGAACAAAAGAATTTGATTACCTGATTCCATCCGTATGCTCAGTTTCTAAGAGTAAAGCCGCATATTCAAGATTCTTCTTGAGATCATCCATCGAAAGTTGACCGCAGTTAAGTTGATGTAACACATATCGTAGCCTGAAATTTTACCTATTTCAATGATATGAAATCGATGTTTTTCAAATAATCTATATTACTAATACAACAAAAAGTTTCGTATACAATTGAAAAATACATTCAAAATAAAGAAATTAAATTATAAAGAGGAAAATTTAAAATTTTAGAAATTTATAAATGGTTTGACTTTACTCACCGGCATGCATGTCTTTGTATTGCAAGACGGTGAGATCCATAAGAATCGTCATGCATTATGTTTTGCACTTATTGCAGAAAATATGAAAAGAATTCAAATTCAAATTTATTGTTTCTAATGAATGAAACAACGATGCTTCCACGAAGAAATATATTTATTGGAATGAATTCATTCCAATTTCAATTATAAAAAAACTAATCGGTAACTACAATTATTTCAATTTGTTAAAATAATCAAAGAAAAGAATTTGGAATATTTCCTACGAAACTTTCCATATGTTAAATATAGGATGAAAAAGTGAACGTAAATGACGCGAGCGAGAGCATCTAACTGATAATTTAGCAGATGAAGTGAATCTCCATGACTACAACTATTATTGCAATCTTTTTATTCATACTTTTAGATGAATCAATTGGACAATGTTATCAAATATGACTTCCGTACAAGGATGATAATCCATTTCCATTTAGGATATAAATTTTGTTCCGAGTGAAAAATCAATCGATCGTGATATTTTATAAAGCGTGATTAGTTTCAAGTGAATGCGATATTACTGAACAGCTAATATGAATGTATTTACATAATAATGATAACAATCATGATAATGCACTGAAAATTGTGATAAAATTAGCTTCAAATGAAAGCAAATAGTGAAAGTGATTTCTGATTAGTCTTGTTGGCTGATTCGTAAATTAAAGTAAGTAAGGTAGCAAAATTTAAGAAATATAAGTGCAAAGAAGTGAGAAAGTTGTTATTTAAGAATTGAAGGATTAATATTAACAGCTTAGGCACTTTAGCAGGTGTTTTATAATTATATTAAAACAAAAACGAAAAATTAAGTGAAAATAAATTTCGACTTTCGAATAAAAGTATTGTTGTTTATCATTGCTGCAAGGAAGAAATAAAACTGAAAACTGATTTACAGACAGTTAATTTGCAGGAATAATAATCGGTAATCGGTAAAGACGGAATTTAAAATATTTTCGGGTTTTAAAAAACAGATTAAATAAGAAAATTTATATAAAAAGTTATAAATATTGCGATACATTTTCAAATATTTTATTATTCTCTAAAATTTAACATTTCTATTGCCTAACATTGATTAGAAATTTAAAATATATATTCGGATAATCTTATTAGGAAAGGATAGCATCTCCAAATGATTCATTATTTTTTGGGAAGCATTTACTAAATGAAGGAGTAGGAAAGTATATGTACGTATGTGTATGTTTTAGCAAATGGTCAAGTTTACTTGATGGACAGAGTTTTGGAACAATGTTTAGAATAACTTCACATTTAAGCTGTTCAAGATATAAATAATTAGCTCTTAATGAATTTTCAGGAATAGATAAATGTATTTATTTCTTCTTTTTATTTCATCGATACATAGAAATTCTTTTTTTTGGATTAAACAAGATTTTATGAATCAATAATTTATATTTATTTACCATCAACTTATTTAAATAATAGCATATTTTAATAATTTCAAAAGACAACAATTTACTTTTACTTAAATAATTTTAAATGAGTAATAAATGGATTCGTAATGAATCAATAAAATTTCAAACAAAAATTAATGTTATCAACAAATGCATCTGTCATAATTATCAATTACTCCGTACATTCAATGATACTATAATTAATGTGTTTAATAGAACAGCGATCATCAATGCTGAATAAATTATTATTTAATTCAAATGAATTTTAAGCAATTAAATACATCAAATTTTTATTCTGCTATCACCATATGCTATTATTCGATCATTTTCTTCACAGGTTTATTAGGAAATAAACATTTTTATTAGATATCAAACATTATATTAGCTTTATAAAGCAATACACAATGGGTGGACAATTTATTTAATATATAATTTACTTACTATAAATTAATAAAAGTTTTATTTAATTCATTCTTTTATTATTTCTACAAATGCAAAAAATTTCTATCATAAATATTATTGAGATCCAAATTAAGCAACATTTCTGTATGTTTTTTATCGACTGGCAGTTATTTCATTTATTTTTCAAATTTTAATTGAAATTTAAATTTATAGTTTAATTTAAAGTCTATGAGAGAATCATTGAATTTTTCCATTAAGAAAATTGAAAATAATAACGAACACTTAACTGATCAAAATAAAAAATCATTTATTGCAATTACGATGATTAGCTGATTGATATAATTAATGCATTTCATACAATGACTTATTGGAAAGGAAAAATGTCAACATATTATCTTCACAAATGTGACACTAATCCCGTTGATTTAGAATTTAGAAATTGGAATGAATTTTTGATTTTCCAATAAACAATCCAAATGAGGGAAAAACATTTTCTAACTTACATTCATTTAGTAATAATTAATGAGCAGAAAAATGATTGATATTATACGCTGCCATTTCATTTGTTTATCTTTCAATAATTTATTTCTTTATTTCAATTTATATTGAAAATTATCTTTGTTTTGTCTCATTTAAAATCATTCGTTTTTTAATTGAAATTCGATTTTACCTTAGAAAATTCTTATCTGAATGAAATTTTATTTTAAATATGAGATTAATCATTTTGTGTACAGCCGACTGTCCCTTAATTAATTAGGAGAAATGATTTTCTATTTCGATAAATTAAGCAATCGATAATTTATTTTATCTTTTTGCTTGTAGCAAAAAGTAATTTTTGATGGAAGAATATTAAAATAAATTAATAAATTTATAAAGTTTGAAATTTATTAATTATTTTTATTTTTTATTAGAAATTAAATAAAACAATCAATTGGGTTTAATTCGGTCATTTTTTTCAACTTTTCATTCAAAAATTAAAATCTTCGAAATTAATCAATGCCAAAATAATCTTTTGTTTATGAAAGTTTTCTAATAAACTTTAACAAAATAATCAATAAATGTAAAGGATTAGAATGAGGCCTGTCGTTAATTAGAATGAGGCCTGTCATTATAAATAATTCATTTGCCTAATTCTTTGACAACGATATGACAAAAATTTGCAATTTTACAGAACTTTTTGATTTGAGAACTATTAATTTTGCGTAATATGGCATATAATAACGATGGATTATATTGAAGTAGAAAAAGATATTTCTATTACTTATTGATTGATTTCAATACAATGATAACAGTGATAATAATTTAACAGGAAAAAAAGAGATGGATTCATTGTTTTAAGAAGGAAAGAGATAAATAAATAGTTGAAAGGATGGATGGATGGATACTGTAGGCTGTCAGTTTTTTTGACAAAAATTAAAATAAATTGTTGTAAGAACGGAAAATTTTTAAATTCTTCAAAAAGTCAATTTTTCTTCAATTCAAACAAATATTTTTTATCTTTAAATTATAAATTTCTTTGATAAAAATCACAAATTAAACAATTTTCCTTTCAAATTAAATAAAAAAATAATATTTTTTTTAATAAAATTTATTTAGAAATTAGATATTATAGGAATAAGATATATTTATTTAAATAAACGATAAGCTTTAAATGATATTTATAAGTTCTCTAATTCATTTAAGTAAATAATCTATTTTATTCCTATGATATCTAATTCCCGAAAACAAAGCCCACGAAAAAAAAATGAATCGAATCTATTGGGAAATAGCGTAAATTGAAAATTCCTACGAATGAAATTATCAATAATAATTCATTGTTTATGTTTCTAAAATTAATTTAATTCAAAACAAAACAATATTAACTTGCTAATAACATCAAATAACTATACGACAATTAAAGAGAATGTAAATATGTGTGAATGAATGAAAAACATTTGGCTAAAGAAGAAATTTGAAATGACTTGTGAAAGCTATTGCAATGATAATTGGCAAAATTTTTTGGACATAAAATTGTTCAAATCGATCATTTTCTTCTTTTCTATTTCTATTCTATTTGTTATAGCTATTTTGTGATGTGAAAGATAAGATTGTTTTTACATATCAATTTTACATGCCTTTTACACTTATTTCTCTGTTAAATATAAAACAATGCCAATGAAAAAAATTAATAAAATCTATTGGGAAATTCTCATTCGATATGAAATATATTTCGATAACTTCTCGTAAGTTAGTAATGATTTGTTGAAATTTTTGATTACTATCATCTAAGAACATTTGATGGGTAATATAACAGTAATCGGTAAACCGATTACTGATATATCGGTTTTATATCGATAAAAAAAACCAGTCATATGATAACATATCAGATAGAAATGGACAATGATCACATATCAGATGAATGATCAATCATCAATGATGATGGTCTGATGAAAATATATTGGTTATGAGATGTGGAAATCGCAGGAAGTGAAACTAAAAAAAGGCTTTTTTTTCTATATTAAATAAAAATAAATTAAATGGTGAACTCAGCAAAATTTTTTTCAAATTATTTGACCTCTTGTAGTGGACAGATCTCGTTGGCTAATTCGAAATCTCCGCTACTATACAAATTACGGCTATTCAATTATTCAAAATGACTTCCTCAAATTACTTTTTGTGTTTATAAATTCTTGCTACCTATCTTTCACATATTGACGATATCTATCCAGCAAATAAACATTAAATATGTTATGAATTAATTATATGTTATGAATTAATTATATCTTTTAAGCAAAATATTATCACTAAAATTTAAACTTTTTAGTAGCTTATTGGAAAATTTCATTCTCATATCGTTGATTGTTAGCATAAATAAAGTAAGAATGGCAAGAAAATGAAAAAGAATAAATTTATTTTCTGTCAATTATTTTTTTAAATTCCTACTAACTAATAAAAAATATAATTTGTTTTTGCAACTAAAACTTTATTACTGTGAAATATTATATCAAATGGTCTTTAAGTATTGATATCAGTGATATCACTGATACCAGCCATTGTGAAACAGAAACTGTTAACATTTAGATATGTTAATAATTTGAATTTTAAAGAATATATATATATATATATATTAGGTGTGCTTGCATTAAATGATAATTTGAAAAGAAAAAGCAGAATTAATTAGCTTAGAATAAGCTGACTAATTTTGCTTATAAATGTGGCAATTGTATGTTTTACCC